CTGGCTGGCGAAACGTTCCCGGAATAAAGATACAGAAATATTACACAAGTGTCTCATTTATCCACTTCAATGTATCATGTTCAAATAAATAAATAAATAAATAAATAATTAAACATGTCGTCCTGAACCCACAAAATGTCTTATGTCACTTCTAATTCCCCGTTGTTATCTTAGACAACTTACACTGATGTTATTGATGTAAGACAAGTGTTATCTCCCCCAAAATGGTGTGATTGTGGGTAAATAACTTAGTAAAACGCAGATATTTAGTGTTGAAGTTAGAGTAGCTGCTGCTGGAAGTAGTGTGATGCTTCTGATGCTCCAGCTGGAGGAAGATGTCAGTGCTGACCAATCACAGCACGTGTAGGTGAAGCATCAGCCAATCAGAATCAAGTATGGGTGGCGGTGGTCCAGGGTGTCGCTGCTGATTGGCTGATGATGTAAACAACAGGACAGCTGAGCCTCGACACCCGGCGCCGCCACAATGCTCTCATTCACTCTTCTTTAAAATTTATTTCCCTCAATATATCCACCTGTCTTGCAAAACTTAGCCATTTATGACGCATTTCAAAGTAAATATTTATTTTCACAAATAATGAGGGACTAAACACAAACATTTGTTTACGTTTTAAAATAATTAAGGTCATTATAATTGTGTAATTACTTATTAAAAATATTTAATAAGCGACCAATATGGCTCTCCTGAGCAAGACCCGTGAAACCAAGATTTTCACTTTTTAAATGCATAATACCGCCTTGTTATGCATTAATACGCGGACAAGTACAGGTGTAACCGTAGAGGCATGCGAGCACATGTGATGGATAAGAGTACTGAAGGATTCCTTCACGACGGAGTGAATTACGAGGATGTAGAAGTGAGAAGAAGGAAGAAGAAGCAGCATCACTCCAGACCTTCCACATCTCAGATGGTCCATAATGCTATCACACAAATCGGCTCTAAGGAAAAAGGCGCCTCCGTGCAGAAGATAAAGAAGTATATTTACGCTAACTACAAGGTGAACTTGAACAAAATCGATTTATTCATTAACAAGTATATGAAGAAAGGTGTGAGGGACGGACGGCTGATCAAGAGCACAGGCTTCCGTAACGGCGCTATCGGCTTTTTTAAAATAGCCGCTAAACCCAAGCCTGATTTCTCCGAGAAGCGGACACTAACCCCCGAGAAGAGGAAGAGGAAGAGGCTGGAGAAGCAAGTACCGGTGATCAGCCAGGTGGTGTCTGAGGGAGAGATAGACAGTAGTAACAGCAGTAACAGCCAGCTGTCACCTGTCAGTTCCTTCACTACTGTCATGGATCTTATTGATGATGTCTCTCTACAACCTCTCACTTCTTCACAGTTTGTTAATCCCTTGAGAATGCACTATAAACAGGTTAGTTTCATGGGGTTTAGTGTGCTTGATGCTGGTGAGGGGCTCTTGATGTAGGTAATGTATGCTGGTGAGGGGATCTTGATGTAGGGAATGTATGCTGGTGAGGGGATCTTGATGTAGGTAATGTATGCTGGTGAGGGGCTCTTGATGTAGGTAATGTATGCTGGTGAGGGGATCTTGATGTAGGGAATGTATGCTGGTGAGGGGATCTTGATGTAGGGAATTTATGCTGGTGAGGGGATCTTGATGTAGGTAATGTATGCTGGTGAGGGGCTCTTGATCTAGGGAATGTATGCTGGTGAGGGGATCTTGATGTACGGAATTTATGCTGGTGAGGGGCTCTTGATGTAGGTAATGTATGCTGGTGAGGGGCTCTTGATCTAGGGAATGTATGCTGGTGAGGGGATCTTGATGTAGGGAATGTATGCTGGTGAGGGGATCTTGATGTAGGGAATGTATGCTGGTGAGGGGATCTTGATGTAGGGAATGTATGCTGGTGAGGGGATCTTGATGTAGGGAATGTATGCTGGTGAGGGGATCTTGATGTAGGGAATGTATGCTGGTGAGGGGATCTTGATGTAGGGAATGTATGCTGGTGAGGGGATCTTGTTGTAGGGAATGTATGCTGGTGAGGGGATCTTGATGTAGGGAATGTATGCTGGTGAGGGGATCTTGATGTAGGGAATGTATGCTGGTGAGGGGATCTTAATCTAGGGAATGTATGCTGGTGAGGGGATCTTGATGTAGGGAATGTATGCTGGTGAGGGAATCTTGATGTAGGGAATGTATGCTGGTGAGGGGATCTTGATCTAGGGAATGTATGCTGGCGAGGGGCTCTTGATCTAGGTAATGTATGCTGGTGAGGGGCTCTTGATCTAGGGAATGTATGCTGGTGAGGGGCTCTTGATCTAGGGAATGTATGCTGGTGAGGGGCTCTTGATCTAGGGAATTGATGCTGGTGAGGGGCTCTTGATGCATGGAAGTTATGCTGGTGAGGGGCTCTTGATCTAGGGAATGTATGCTGGTGAGGGGATCTTGATCTAGGGAATTTATGCTGGTGAGGAGCTCTTGATCTTGGGAATTGATGCTGGTGAGGGGCTCTTGATCTAGGGAATTGATGCTGGTGAGGGGTTCTTGATCTAGGGAATCGGATCTGTGCTCCAGTTCCCTGAATACCTTCCACATCCCCCCACAGGCACTATATAACCCAACGAGTTTAGTGCTTCCCCCTTGATTATTATAATAATAATTTAAATAAGATATTACAAGGGCACCAGTGGAAGTCTTACAGTTAGGCTTTAAATAATAAGATATTACTAGGACGCCAAAGGAAATAAGTCACTGTGTCTGACTTTTTATGGATTATCTCAAGTAATTTTAACATGTTACTATGTATGATAATATTATCTCAAGTAATTTTAACATGTTACTATGTATGATAATTGTACTTACATGTACCTGTACCTAAATAAATAATAATACAGAATAGTGTCCAAACACTGTGCCGACAAATTCCACTTCCAAATTTAAAGCAGTAATCCATATTATTATTATTATAATCAAGGGGGAAGCGCTAAACCCGGAGGATTATACAGCTCCTGGGGGGGGGATGTGGAAGGCATTCAGGCTTAATTCGGGGAACGAGCACAGATCCAATTCCCTAAATCAAGAACCCCTCACCAACATCAAGGAACCTTCCTTGAGGGGCAGTAATCCATAAACATTATAACTGAAATAAAACATGTAGTACACATGTCGAGGAGATGACTGGTATTCTTAGGTTAAGCTTTCATATATTATCAATATTATATTCCTTCATCATCTACTGGTATGTCCCCAAACCCGTTGCACAAATTTGTGCCACCTGTTTGTAAAATAATTAAAAAAAATAATTATGAATAAAGCTCATCTTGCCTTATCAGCGAAGAGCTAAAATATATGTATTGCAGACATATTATTATTATTATTATAATCAAAAAGAAGCGATAAGCCACAAGGGCTATACAGCGCTATTGCAGACATAAATGGCTACCATATACATACATAGCACTGTATGTGCTGTAAAACTACTGCTGTATATTGTATATATTTTTTGGCTACTATATATCCTAACATCTTTTTCATGTGTTTTATCTTAATATTAGAGGTGTTAGCAAGTTTATTTAGATATAGAGCTGAGTGCCATGAAGAACAAGAAGTCAGTATGACTGTAAAAGAGCTTGACATGGGGTAATGCATACCTGAGTATTACTTTCATCCCAGTATCATGGATGGGGACTCTGCAATATTATTATTATAATCAAATAGAAGCACTAAACCTACAAGGGTCATACAGCACTGCCGGGCAGGGAAGGATGCAGGAGTAATGGGTAGCAAGAGGGAGAGGGATGATTATTAGGTCATGGAGTGCAGCAGGGCAGTGGATAGTGCAGGGGTAGAGGGTAGCAAGAGGTTGAGGTAGACTCTGCAATAAAATAGAGCAGCAGTATCCTAAAAGCACAAAAATGAAGACCTATTACCTATCCTGCTGTGTCATGATGAAAAGTAGTTTGTACTCAGATGCTCAGGGTAATGTAACCAAATCTAAGCATTCAACTTATTCAGTTAGAAGTATGAAATGAATGCATCAATCTGTACCTAGGACCCTATAAGATAAGATTTGTTTGGATTTTTAACCCAGAGGGTTTGCCACCCAGGATAGTCCAAGAAAGTCAATGTATCAACGAAAACTATTGCCCCTCAATGGAGGCTCCTTGATGCTGGTGAGGGGCTCTTGATCTAGGGAATTGGATCTGTGCTCCGGTTCCCTGATTTGACCCTGAATACCTTCCATCCACCCCAAATGTGCTGTATAATCCTACGGGTTTAGTGCTCCCCCATAATTATAATAATAAAAATCACCGAGAACTATCTGTCTTATTTCCACAGGGGTCCTTCAGTCTTGTCCCCTAGGATGTGAACCACACCAGTCAACTAACACCCAGGTACCTACTTACTGCTAGATGAACAGGGACACCAGGTGCAAGGAAGCACCTCAGCATTTCCACCCATGTCGGGAATGTATTTGTTAACGCATCTGCTTTGGGGTTTTTCACATGTTCTAAATCCTCTTTCAATTTGTCATCCTCGGCCAGATTTCTTAGTAAGAACATACGAAAGAAGGAACACTGCAGCAGGCCTACTGACCCATGCGAAGTAGGTCCATGTTACCCTCTGGCTTAGCCCAATGACCCACCTAGTCAGGCCACTTCTACTTAAGGAAGGAGCACAGCTTCAGACCTAGTAGCACAAGCTAGTCACGTCCAACTCACACCCACTCATGTATTTATCTAACCTATTTTTAAAGCTACCTAATGTTTTAGCCTCTATAACTGTACTCGGGAGTTTGTTCCACTTGTCCACAACTCTATTACCAACTTGAAACCATTGCTGTGAATCCTGTCTTGGCTGGAAATTCTGAAATGTAATTTATAAATACTAAAGCCAAGACAGCAGTGCCTCAGTGTGCGCAACAAGGCCAACAGATTACTTGGATTTATCTCAAGAAGTATAAGTAACAGAAGTCCAAAAGTTATTTTACAGCTCTATACATCACTAGTGAGGCCTCATTTAGATTATGCTGCTCAGTTTTGGTCCCCTTACTACAGGATGGACATAGACTCATTAGAGAACATACAGAGAAGAATGACTAAAATGATTTACTGTGTAAGGAACCTCCCGTATGAAGATAGACTTAAAGCCTTAAATCTCCACTCTCTGGAGAGGCGTAGAATGAGGGGGGATATCATTGAAGTGTATAAGTGGATGACGGGCATAAACAAGGGAGACTTAATAAAGTACTGAGGGGTCGAACCAGGTAAGAACCAGGAATAATGGATTTAAGTTGGATAAATTTAGATTTAGAAAGGACATAGGTAAGTACTGGTTTTCTAACAGAGTTGTAGATGCGTGGAACAGTCTTCCCTGTGGGGTGATAGAGGCTAGGACCTTGGGTAGCTTTAAAAAGAGACTGGACAAATATATGAGTGGGAGGGGCTGGGTTTGATTGGTGTTGGGGGGTGCGGGAGTTGTTTCTTGAGTAGCTTTAGGTAGATGTCGTTTGGATAAGGACCTGCCTCGTATGGGCCAGTAGGCCTTCTGCAGTGTTCCTACATTCTTATGTTCTTATGTTCTTATGTACAAATCTCCAAGGGAAAGCAGAGAAGATTCCTTCCTCTGTAAACCATGTGCGTTGTAAGAGGCGACTAAAATGCCGGGAGCAATGGGCTAGCAACCCCTTCTCTCGTATAAATTACTAAATGTAAAAAGAACCTTTTATTTTTTCTTCTTTTTCAGGTCATCCTGCCTTGGTGGGAGACAGCTGTTGTGTTAAAAAAGAATATACACAAATCACCACAGTAGCTACCATATGGTACCACTGTCATTAATATATGTATGTTGAAATCTAAAAAAAAATTCTATTTAATATATTGAATTGTTTTATAAACCACACAGTAAATGTTACAAACCCCTGAAACCCTCTCCAGGTACACACTGGACAGTTCATTTACTAAATTTGCCATTTTTCCACATTTAATTTTGAAATAAGCAATAATTCTACTGTAAAGTAAAAGGACACAAGTGCAACTAATGTGACATTTTATTATGGCAATGTTTCGCTCTCCAGGAGCTTTATCAAGCCGTTACAAACAGTACATGGACACACAGGGTATATATAGGCTCATGTGTCCATGTACTGTTTGTAACGGCTTGGCAAAGCTCCTGGAGAGTGAAACGTTGCCACAATAAAATGCCACATTAGTTGCACTTGTGTCCTTTTACTTTACATATTGTCGGTAATTCTACCAACTTTATTACAATAATTCTACTATAAATACCAGTTCATCAATTAAAAAAAAACTTGTCCTTATGACCAGATCCAGTTGAACTTCTTCTATGAACACATTATTGTTATATGTGCACATTGCTCCATATGTGTATCAAAGACCATTGGAGTTACTACATGCCTTATGTTCATAAGTTTACATTTCAGAGCCCCACTAATTCCCCATATATGTATGTGTACATTTGCTAAATCACTTTAGATATAAGTATGAATACTTAACATTTTCTTCTTTTTCTTTCAGAATGATATTGAAAAGATATGGGATCTTGTTAGCTTACATGAAAGTGTGTCTATCATCATATTCAATGTGGACAAGCAAAAACTAATCCTTGTGGACAGTTCAGACCAGGTAAAAGTCACTGAACGTTGAAAGTTATACTGAGTAAGAAATTTGTTGTACACCTAATTGAATATCATGCTTAATCACAGACCAGGTGGGACTTGAAGCCATGGCAGGTGAGTGGTAGAACTGGCAGGCCAGTGTGCTAGCCAGTAGTTAGCACACTGGCCGACAAGTTTCAGGACATTCCTGTCATGGTTTAAGCCCCACTTGTTTTGATTCGTTTACAAATGTGATTACAATTTCATGACTCATACTTAAGTTTATAATCATCTTCGTATTTCTGCTTCACCTTTATTATTCTTGACTCAATTTATGCTCTGATGGTATTCACAGTGGACCAGCATTGTAATCATCCTTGTTTAACCCTTAAACTGTCCAAACATAGATCTACGTTTGTTCACGTAGCGCTCTGAACGTAGATCTATATTTTTTTACATGCTTTCTTATGGAGAAAATCAAGGTCAGAGCATTATGCCCACAAACGTAGATCTACGTTTGGATAGTTTAAGGGTTGAATCCACTGGTGACATGTCAAGCCTTATAATTATTATCAAAAAGAAGCGCTAAGCCACAAGTCAAGCCTTATAAGCCTTCTGATGTCCTGTTATTTTTATAGTTTCTTGATGTGAGAAATCACAAAAGCTCTTGGAAATTCATTATTTTGTCCACAGTGGTTATTTTGCATATTGTGATATCACCTGTTTACTGTGATTTTATTGCATAAATGTTTAATGTTTTACAGCGGTGTACTACAGTGGCATACCCCCAGAGGAGCGTGCATCGAGCACTATAAATACAGCCAAGTATCCAGGAATAAGAGGTCTTACTCTGGAATTCTGTGCTGGTATTGTGGACAAAAGTAAAGAACTTGTACAAATTGCCAGAGAAGAGGTGCTCGAAGAATGTGGTTATGATGTCCCTTTGGAACATTTTGAAAAAGTCATAACTTACAGGCAGGTGTCCACTTTGTACCATGTAAGTTTATTTTATTTTCAAAACCACTGGTGATCAGAATTATGCATGATTATTCCTTGTTCACTCACTGGTCTCTGAAGAAAAAAAAAAATTTAATTCGGTCTCGTTTCAAATGAATTTTCATAACTGTTTTGAAAACTTTGGACATTTATGTTGCTATGCCAACAAGTGATCATTTTTCATCAAATTCATTGCACTGTATTTTTTTATCTTTTAAACAACACATTAGCCATCTCTCACCAAGGCAAGGTAACCTCAAAATGAAGAAATGAAGTTTTTTCTTTTCATATTTCTTTTTTTTTTTTAATAAATAATTTTTTTTTTTTACAAAATTTGGGCACACAAGAATTAAAAATGCAGGTTATGCCACAACTAAATTTTTTTTTTTTTATTATTCAGCTTACAAAACTTATAACATTTTTCTTTGTTATTTTAAACATAAAACCTCTCAAGAGAAACCCAACATGCTTAACATAGTATACACTGGTATTAACAGGTCTGGTGTGGGAGTATCTGGTGATCGTCAAACAATGTTTTACGTAGAAGTGACAAACAACATGAAAGTAACTGAAGGTGAGTAAATACACGTACTCCATATCTGGTCAGCCACCTGTAGTAACAAAATAAATTAAAAGAAATTATGCCTTGCACTAAATGTTAATATATATATATATATATTTTATTATCACACTGGCCGATTCCCACCAAGGCAGGGTGGCCCGAAAAATAAAAACTTTCACCATCATTCACTCCATCACTGTCTTGCCAGAAAGGTGCTTTACACTACAGTTTTTAAACTGCAACATTAACACCCCTCCTTCAGAGTGCAGGCACTGTACTTCCCATCTCCAGGACTCAAGTCCGGCCTGCCGGTTTCCCTGAACCCCTTCATAAATGTTACTTTGCTCACACTCCAACAGCACGTCAAGTATTAAAAACCATTTGTCTCCATTCACTCCTATCAAACACGCTCACGCATGCCTGCTGGAAGTCCAAGCCCCTCGCACACAAAACCTCCTTTACCCCCTCCCTCCAACCTTTCCTAGGCCGACCCCTACCCCACCATCCTTCCACTACAGACTGATACACTCTTGAAGTCACTCTGTTTCACTCCATTCTCTCTACCTGTCCGAACCACCTCAACAACCCTTCCTCAGCCCTCTGGACAACAGTTTTGGTAATCCCGCATCTCCTCCTAACTTCCAAACTACGAATTCTCTGCATTATATTCACACCACACATTGCCCTCAGACATGACATCTCCACTGCCTCCAGCCTTCTCCTCGCTGCAACATTCATCACCCATGCTTCACACCCATATGTCCCCTCATGGAAGGTTCCTTGATGTTGGTGAGGGGCTCTTGACTTAGGGAATTGAATCTGTGCTCTAGTTCCCCGAATTAAGCCTGAATGCCTTCCACATCCCCCCCTGGACGCTGTATAATCCTACGGGTTTAGCGCTTCCCCCTTGATTATAATAATAATAATTCACACCCATATAAGAGCATTGGTAAAACTATACTCTCATACATTCCCCTCTTTGCCTCCAAGGACAAAGTTCTTTGTCTCCACAGACTCCTAAGTGCACCACTCACCCTTTTCCCCTCATCAATTCTATGATTCACCTCATCTTTCATAGACCCATCTGCTGACACGTCCACTCCCAAATATCTGAATACATTCACCTCCTCCATACTCTCTCCCTCCAATCTGATATCCAATCTTTCATCACCTAATCTTTTTGTTATCCTCATAACCTTACTCTTTCCTGTATTCACTTTTAATTTTCTTCTTTTGCACACCCTACCAAATTCATCCACCAATCTCTGCAACTTCTCTTCAGAATCCCCCAAGAGCACAGTGTCATCAGCAAAGAGCAACTGTGACAACTCCCACTTTATGTGTGATTCTTTATCTTTTAACTCCATGCCTCTTGCCAAGACCCTCGCATTTACTTCTCTTACAACCCCATCTATAAATATATTAAACAACCACGGTGACATCACACATCCTTGTCTAAGACCTACTTTTACTGGGAAATAATTTCCCTCTTTCCTACATACTAACTTGAGCCTCACTATCCTCGTAAAAACTCTTCACTGCTTTCAGTAACCTACCTCCTACACCATACACCTGCAACATCTGCCACATTGCCCCCCTATCCACCCTGTCATACACCTTTTCCAAATCCATAAATGCCACAAAGACCTCTTTAGCCTTATCTAAATACTGTTCACTTATATGTTTCACTGTAAACACCTGGTCAGCACACCCCCTACCTTTCCTAAAGCCTCCTTGTTCATCTGCTATCCTATTCTCCGTCTTACTCTTAATTCTTTCAATAATAACTCTACCATACACTTTACCAGGTATACTCAACAGACTTGTCCCCTTTGCCTTTATACAAAGGAACTTTTCATGCTCTCTGCCAATCCCTAGGTACCTTACCCTCTTCCATACATTTATTAAATAATTGCACCAACCACTCCAAAACTATATCCCCACCTGCTTTTAACATTTCTATCTTTATCCCATCAATCCCGGCTGCCTTACCCCCTTTCATTTTACCTACTGCCTCACGAACTTCCCCCACACTCACAACTGGCTCTTCCTCACTCCTACAAGATGTTATTCCTCCTTGCCCTATACACGAAATCACAGCTTCCCTTTCATCAACATTTAACAATTCCTCAAAAATATTCCCTCCATCTTCCCAATACCTCTAACTCTCCATTTAATAACTCTCCTCTCCTATTTTTAACTGACAAGTCCATTTGTTCTCTAGGCTTCCTTAACTTGTTAATCTCACTCCAAAACTTTTTCTTATTTTCAACAAAATTTGTTGATAACATCTCACCCACTCTCTCATTTGCTCTCTTTTTACATTGCTTCACCACTCTTTTAACCTCTCTCTTTTTCTCCATATACTCTTCCCTCCTTGCATCACTTCTACTTTGTAAAAACTTCTCATATGCTAACTTTTTCTCCCTTACTACTCTCTTCACATCATCATTCCACCAATCGCTCCTCTTCCCCTCCCGCACCCACTTTCCTGTAACCACAAACTTCTGCTGAACACTCTAACACTACATTTTTAAACCTACCCCATACCTCTTCGACCCCATTTCCTATGCTCTCATTAGCCCATCTATCCTCCAATAGCTGTTTATATCTTACCCTAACTGCCTCCTCTTTTAGTTTATAAACCTTCACCTCTCTCTTCCCTGATGCTTCTGTTCTCCTTGTATCCCATCTACCTTTTACTCTCAGTGTAGCTACAACTAGAAAGTGATCTGATATATCTGTGGCCCCTCTATAAACATGTACATCCTGAAGTCTACTCAGCAGTCTTTTATCTACCAATACATAATCCAACAAACTACTGTCATTTCGCCCTACATCATATCTTGTATACTTATTTATCCTCTTTTTCTTAAAATATGTATTACCTATAACTAAACCCCTTTCATACAAAGTTCAATCAAAGGGCTCCAATTATCATTTACACCTGGCACCCCAAACTTACCTACCACACCCTCTCTAAAAGTTTCTCCTACTTTAGCATTCAGATCCCCTACCACAATTACTCTCTCACTTGGTTCAAAGGCTCCTATACATTCACTTAACATCTCCCAAAATCTCTCTCTCTCCTCTACATTCCTCTCTTCTCCAGGTGCATACACACTTATTATGACCCACTTTTTGCATCCAACCTTTACTTTAATCCACATAATTCTTGAATTTACACATTCATATTCTCTTTTCTCCTTCCATAACTGATCCTTCAACATTAATGCTACCCCTTCCTTTGCTCTAACTCTCTGATACTCCAGATTTAATCCCATTTATTTCCCCCCACCGAAACTCCCCTACCCCTTCAGCTTTGTTTCGCTTAGGGCCAGGACATCCAACTTCTTTTCATTCATAACATCAGCAATCATCTGTTTCTTGTCATCCACGCACATTCAAGCATCCCAGTTTTATAAAGTTTTTCTTCTTCTCTTTTTTTAGTAAATGTCTACAGGAGAAGGGGTTACTAGCCCATTGCTCCCGGCATTTTAGTCGCCTCATACGACACGCCTGGCTTACGGAGGAAAGATTCTTTTCCACTTCCCCATGGACAATAGAAGAAATAAAGAAGAACAAAAGCTATTTAGAAAAAGGAGAAAAACCTAGATGTATGTATATATATATGCATGTGCGTGTCTGTGAAGTGTGACCAAAGTGTAAGTAGGAGTAGCAAGATATCCCTGTTATCTAGCGTGTTTATGAGACAGAAAAAGAAACCAGCAATCCTACCATCATGCAAAACAGTTACAGGTTTGTTTCACATTATTATTATTATAATCAAGGGGAAGCACTAAACCCCTAGGATTATACAGCGCCTGGGGGGGAGGATGTGGAAGGCATTCAGGCTTAATTCGGGGAACTGGAGCACAGATCCAATTCCCTAAATCAAGAGCCCCTCACCAACATCAAGGAACCTTCCCTGAGGGGTTTCTGTTTCACAGCCATCTGGCAGGATGGTAGTACTTCCCTGGGTGGTTGCTGTCTACCAAATATATATATACTATATATATTTTGAACACTGAATTGATCCCAGACATGACAGACTCGCCGCCTCCAATCTCCATTATTCAAAAACCATGTTTCGCCTCATACATGTGTTGGGACTGCTGTTCTCTTACACATTATATTTTGCAGCTGTTGAACTGCTTTCTTTGTACACATTCCTTGCCACTCCTGCTGCTTTCATATTATTATTATAATCAAAAAGAAGCGCTAAGCCACAAGGGCTATACAGCGCTGCAGGGTAGGGAAGGAAGTAAGGGAATTGGATGGCAGAAGGGAGGGGGGATGATCAGCAGGTTACAGAAAACAGCGGGGCAGGGGATAGTATGGGAGTAGAGGGTAGCAAGAGATACAAGTAGAAAGGGCTGAAAGTATCAGAATTTGTGAAGTAAGTCAGTCGTTGTCAAAAAGTCAATGAGAGAGTCCGGATGAAAGGTGGGCCCATAAAGCGAGAAGGGAGGTAAAGAGAGAGCAGGGGGGCGAAGACGACGACAGAGGTAAATTCTGCGTGCTCGTTGATAAAGTGGGCATCCAACAGAATGTGGCTGACTGATAAGGGAAAGCTTGCAATTCTCACAGAGGGAGCAAGACGCCTCTCCATGAGATAATCCATGAGTAAGACGGGGTATGGCCAATGCAAAGGGACGGGAGAGAGTAGTCTCCCAACCTCGACATGGTGAAAAGGGAAGATGGCCAGTAACCTATACTCGGTTTAATAGACTGAAGTTTGTTGCCGAGCATAGTAGACCAACGTTTTTTGCCAAGGGGTGTGAAGGTGGGAAGATTACAGCAAAATAGTCCGTACATGGAATACCTCTATAAGAAACTGGTAGGTCATGTACTGCTGACCGCGCAGCAGTGTCTGCCTGTTTCATTGCCCTGTACGTCAACATGACCAGGGACCCAAACAAAAAACAATATCTTTATGCTTAGTAAAGATGCGGCGTAGCCAAAGTTGGATACGGAGGACTAAGGGTGAGGTGTATAAATTTTTGTAATAGCCTTTTAAACCCACAAAGGGGTCTGAGACAACCACAAATGATAAACACAGGCATAGATGCAATACGGATAAGTGCTGTAAGGATGGCATATAATTCAGCAGTAAAAATACTAGCTGAAGATAGTAAATGCCCTTGTACGACGTGTCCGGAAAACACTGTGCGGAATCCTACGCCGTCAGAAGACTTAGAGCCATCTGTGTACACAGCAATGGCATGAGAATGAGAGTGAAAGTGGTCAAGAAAAAGAGAGCGGGAAGCGACCGTAGACAGTTGGGCTTTCGAGCAAGGGAGGGAGAAAGAACAGACTCGAACAGCTGGAACTTCCCCGGGGGGTAGGGAAAAGTGAGATGCAAAATGTACATAGAAAGGTGGTAGTTGAAGAGAAGCAAGAGCGAATGAAGGCGAAGAGGAGAAGGGACGGAGTAAGCAGGGCGGCGAACAAATAAAGAATGTCTACTAAATCAGTGACCATTCTATAAATGGAAGGATTGCGGAGATCATGAGAGCGTACATAGTAGCGCAGGCAATGGGCATCACGGCGATCGGATAAGGATGGAACGTTCGCTTCTGCATAGAGGCTTTCGACAGGGGAAGAGCGAAAAGCACCAAGGCATAAACGTAATCCTTGGTGATGAATGGGTTAAGGCTAGAGAGAGTACAGGAGATGCCGCTGAATAGATCTGTCACCATAATCAAGTTCGATAAAATAAGGGTGGAATGTAGGTGAAGGAGGGTTCGACGATCAGCCTTCCCCACGAAAGATGAGCAAGGGTTTTAAGAAAGGTTCAGCCGGCTGTGACAAGTTGCCTTCAGAGAGGTAATGGAGGTTTCCAGGATAACCTACGATCAAAGAGGAGGCCCCGAAACTTGACTGTATCACGTTCAGGATACGTGAGCCATAGAGGTACAAAGGATGATCAGAGATGACAGAGCGTCTAGTGAAAGTGATTTTGGTGGGTTTTTAGTGTGGAAAATTTAAACCCATGTGTGGGGGCCCAATTGGAAAAACGGTCGACTGCATGCTGGAGAGAAACTGTAAAGGAGGGGACAGTCAGCGCCTGCACAGGCAATAGCGAAGTCATCAAATAGAGTGATGACCAAATATTTGATGGAAGACTAGAGGCCAAATCATTAATAGCAAGGGAAAAAAGTGTTGTGCTCAGAACACACCTGGGGGACACCTTCAGCTTGACAAAGTCCGGGGAGAGCACATTATTAACCCGAACACGGAAATGCCTGTCAGTTTAAAAAGTTCTTAAGGAAGGATGGTAGATTGCCTCCCAAGGCCTAAGGAGTGGGCTTGGCTAAAATATTATACCTCCAAGTTGTGTTTATATGCCTTCTCAAGGTCAAAAAATATGGCAATAACTGAGTGGTTATTCGCAAAGGCATTACGAACATACGTATCCAAGCGCAGTAAGGGGTCTATGGTAGAACGTCCCTTACGAAAGCCATATTGACGAGTGGAGAGACTGTTGTGTGTCTCTAAATACCACACTAAACGTCTATTTACTAGACGTTCCATTACTTTGCAAACTGCACTGGTAAGAGCAATGGGACGATAGTGGGTGCTGCTTTCATAACTTCACTCGTTCTGGGATTCATTTAAGTCTTCGTAGACCCAACATGTTCAGTCCTTTCTATCTGTTCAGAAATCTGAGCTTTCATTTTAACACCTTTACTTTCAATTAGCTGAAAATGAACAGTGAAAAGCTATCTTTTACATATGATTTAAACTCCAGCTTTTGTAGATTTTCTCTCAGAAGCACTGTCATTAGCAAAGAGCAACTGTGACAATTTCCTCTTCATGTAATTTATTATTATTATTATAATCAAGGGGGAAGCGCTAAACCCGGAGGATTATACAGCGCCTGGGGGGGGGATATGTGGAAGGCATTCAGGCTTAATTCGGGGAACTGGAGCACAGATCCAATTCCCTAAATCAAGAGCCCCTCACCAACATCAAGGAACCTTCCTTGAGGGGCCCCTTCATGTAATTTAGATTATCCCTAAAACTCATTTACAACTCCATTCATATACATTCAAGCACCAGAGTAACATTACACACACCTATCCGAGGCTGCTTGTATTGGAAAGGACTCATCTTTTACTTACCACGAGCCTCACTCAAACGTACTTCACAGATTTCAACAACTTACCACCTATTCCATAAATGTGCACCACCTCATTGCTCTACTACAGTGGAACCTTGGTACTCTAAGAATTCGGTATTCAAATGCTTTGTTCAGTATAAAAAAAAAAAAAAAAATCGCTCGGTAGTCAACCGTTTTCTTGGCATTTGACCAAACACGACTTGCCAGAACTTCGCTGTAAACCGTTTCGTGTTTCTTCGCATTTCTTTTTTTTATATTATATGTATAAATAAGTCACCTTGGGGCCTAAGAAGATTAGTGATAACAGCCAACCAAAAAGAAAATTGGTTGGGAAAAATTTGTTCGGTACTCGAACAGCCTTCTGGAATGAATCAAGTTCGAGTAATGAGATTCCACTGTACATTTACTTTCATGCACAGGACAGCTCTTGTTCCTTATGTAAATAGTGGACACTAAATTTAAGTGCAGATACTATTCACATGTATTTTCTTACATTCCTAAACAACTTTTCTTTATCATTCTTTTAATGCTGTTATATTTAGGAGTGAGTAATAAACCCATAGGGGTCATGCAGCACCTGGAGAATGGGAGGCAATCAAGTTTGATCCAAGAGAGTGGAGAAAAATTTTAGTTCTTTGAAGGGACCACTATTCTTAATAGGCTCATTTCTTTACACTATTATAATCATATTGATGTTCTTTGCCAAACCTCAGTTATCTTCCATACATATATTACGTGTGTTAATCTTTCCAAAACTATCCCCACCTGCTCTTTGCATTTGTTTTAAACCCATCCATCCATACTGCTTCACCAACTTCTGGTTTTAGTGCTTTATTTTATTATAATAATAATTCACAAACTTATTCTATACTTGCCTTTTTGACTCTGTCTACTAACATTTTTCTCTATTATATAGGTGGTGGCTTAGCAGCGGAAGGCGAGATGATTGAAGTGGTGGAGTTGTCCTTGGCTGAACTAAAAGTTTTATTGAAGCAATCAGAAGTGAACTGTCCTGGAGGCCTTCTGTTTGGTCTAATGTGGTTTTTGCAACATAAAGCACCTCAAGAGTAGCATATCAGTATTATATGCACAACACAAATTGAAGGACCTCATATTTTTGTACAAATACTCTACAGCCATTTTTTAATATACAAGAAAAACATTATTTTATCACTATGGCTGTGTAATTCTCTTGTTAATCACACCTCATTAATCCTGAATCATAGGGACCAGGAGCTTTCCAATAAGATTTTCTGATCGACACAAGGAAAGTGTTGCCGAGCATAATTCCTTTGAGGGGGAAGAGGGTTGACGAAGTCGAAAGGTTTCTAAAGAACAAAAGGGCACAATACACAAATAACCTGCACATAGGAAAGAGGAGCTTACAACGATGTTTTGGTCCGACTTTGGACTATTTACAAAGCCTAAGTGTAGGTTATTTATGTACTGATTACCTGTAACCCTTAAGGGTTTAGTTCTCCATGAGTATGATTACAAAAGCATGGAGGTTGAGCTCTTGTTAGTAGCAGTCGTAGTTTGAAAAAAAAAAAATTGTGTATTAATGGCGAAACGTAAATAATGAATAAAGCCAGGACTTGGCAACCATGGGAGAAGTTTCTAGGGACTTCCATGGATTGTATTTCTGAAAGGTATCTTAGGTTCACAGTAGGAAAGCCCTGAAGCAGCAAAGGTTGGAGGGCAGCAAGTGTAGACATCCTCAGTGATGTCTAGCCCAAATGTGTAATTGCCAGAGGTGGTATCATGAGATATACTACATTTGCAAAGGCATTGTCTTGGTTCAGAATCTTTCAGGAAGTGTTTATTCGTGGGGAAGAGTGTGTGGGTAGTGCTAAACCCATGTGGATAACATGGCACTAATTATTATTATTATTATCAAAACTAAGCACTAAACTTCCGGGGTCATGTGTCACTGCATGGCACTAAACAGTAGAAAATTATTGCAACCAAAACTGGTGTCAAAAATGGTAGAAAAGTAGTGTGGGAGGGGAAATGGGGTAGTGAAAAGTGCCAAGATAAAGACAAGGTTGGTGTAGTATTTTGGGTTCATCAAGGAGAAGGATTGGATTTGTGCTCCAATTCCCTGAATTAAGCCTGAATGTTTTCCACCCTTTCCCCCACAGGTGCAGTATAATCCCTACAGGTTTACCGTTTCCCCCATAATAATCGAAGAGGAAGGAAGGAGAGGGGAAGGTTCCCTGTATCACTAACTTACTGAGGTCATGACTGCATACATAGTGTTGCACATGCATTGTCTTCATTATACAAACCAGTTTACAGCTGCACTGAAGGATAACATAGTTCAAAACAGCCAACACTGACATCTTATGAATAATGAAAAAAAAATATGGTAATAAAAGTTAATACAGTATTGATATGTTGCTGCTTGGTTATCAGTACAATGAATGAACCTGCATTTCCACACCAAAGGCCAATGAAGTTGAGAGCAACTGAGAGCTTTCTCACTATCCATCCTCTGGCAGTATGCATCTTCACTACCAAGTGCAGAATAACACTGCAAAGAGCATGGATAACCTCTTAGAAGGTCCAGATACAACTGAACTTGTGCCAAGAAACCGAAGAGCAGTTTTATTTAGAATTATATTTGCAGTTGATTGGATAACTCCATTAGTTGCTCTTGGCCATGAAATGACAGGTGTGGAACAAAAACTTCAAATAAATTGCATATCCAAGTCAGAGGTACTTGGGGAAGGGTGGGGAGAGATCAAGAAAATGTATTTTTTTCTTCGAATTTTTGCAGTAGTATTGGATAACAATCAGTTTGCATTCATGTAATTTAACTGGAATGCTGCATTTTACTTTAATAATGGTTTCAACCTTTTTATGTTCAATTAAAGTGTGGCACCGACACCCAAGAGGCTTAAATTCAGTTCATTCAAAGCTGAAAAAATGTCCACCAGGCATACTAGGTTTTGTAAACCAGTATTCGTGAAGGCAAGTAAAATGGATTTTCCACAGACAGCTGTTGCAATTATCTTGGTTCAAAAAGCCTTGTCTTGTCAGCATTACTGCATGACAGCCAACACACTTCACTATGGGGGGATCAAGTCTTGAATTTGTTGTCCATCTAGCTGCATAAGCAGACAAGCTTTGAAGAAGCTTCCCATTTTCTTTAAATCAGTGAGCATTGACTTAAGCTTATCTGGCTTGTCTTTAACAGCAAGGGCCTCTTTGAATGCTGTAGTGTACCCAGGACACTGATAATGTGACTTTTCTGATATATTTCCCATCATTGATATTTATTCCCATGCACCCAGTTGCTTCCATTAGTTCTGAAGATAATGCTCATCAGATTAAAGTCTTGGACTTTTCACTCTCCCTGGCTGCCTCATTCATACAATAGGGCTCCAATACATTTCTTCCCCCTGTCTGACCCTCTAATTCACTTTTGTTTCCCTATTTCATTCTGAATAAGAAGTCACTACAGAGTGGCTAGAACAATTCATTGTTCCTCCATTTCTCTGGCCCTCTTCATTGCTAGTGATGGCAATACTAGCCTTCTCTGCAGCAGATGTGGCTGTGTACTGCTCTTCACAATTGTTTTAATGGTTTGGTTCTGTTTTTAAAGGGAACCACTTTAAGTGTGATTATTTTTAATAATAGCTCTTATGTATACTTATCAATACATGGAGAATTCTGATTTGTTTTTCTTTATTCCAGCTTCATTATAATCAGTGCAAATGCAAAGAACAGGTCCCACAATCTTATCTGAAAATACAAAATAATGAACACAGCATTTAGACACACCACCTTCCCACTATGATTATTACAGTAATAACATCTTGGGAGAGGGAGGACTAAACCTGTAGGGATCATACAACACCTGGGGAAATGGGAGGCAATAACTACCCTCAGAGATGGTGCCTTGATGCTCTACCCATGAGGAACCCTGCTATGAATAAAACTGACCCTTGTGGGTTTAGCATTTAGTTATGATTATAATAAATAATATGAATAGAGCTGGCAAACTGACCTCTTACTTTTGCACACAAAATATGTCGTGAAAATTTATGGAAAATGCCGTAAGCATAGGACAATTTTAATATATGCATTGCCATCACTAGTTGTCAACCGTTGGCTCGGGCACTATAATCAGCATTGCTAAGCAAGTCTTTATACATTTTAAGGCTTTTAAGCTTAAATTTTACTCTGGTATGAAGTGTAATAAATGTGACTGCAGGTTAAGGCCTAATAACTTTAATTACCAAGTTTCATAAACAATATTAATGCTGGTGCCACTCTTTCATCTAACAAGTGTTTTAGAGACTAGACCAAAATTCAGCAGTCTGACTATGGTTATCTATTCATAGGTTTGTCTTATGAGAAAATTCCAACGTTCATTTTGAAATATTCATTTTGCTATAGTGAATTTCCAGTTCAAGGGAGACACCTATAAAGAGGAGAGCACATTACATGACAAACCTTCAATTATTTTAATTATCATTTTTTTTTTTTATTTTTTTTTTTTTATTATCACACCGGCCGATTCCCACCAAGGCAGGGTGGCCCGAAAAAGAAAAACTTTCACCATCATTCACTCCATCACTGTCTTGCCAGAAGGGTGCTTTACACTACAGTTTTTAAACTGCAACATTAACACCCCTCCTTCAGAGTGCAGGCACTGTACTTCCCATCTCCAGGACTCAAGTCCGGCCTGCCGGTTTCCCTGAATCCCTTCATAAATGTTACTTTGCTCACACTCCAACAGCACGTCAAGTATTAAAAACCATTTGTCTCCATTCACTCCTATCAAACACGCTCACGCATGCCTGCTGGAAGTCCAAGCCCCTCGCACACAAAAACCTCCTTTACCCCCTCCCTCCAACCCTTCCTAGGCCGACCCTACCCCCGCCTTCCTTCCACTACAGACTGATACACTCTTGAAGTCATTCTGTTTCGCTCCATTCTCTCTACATGTCCGAACCACCTCAACAACCCTTCCTCAGCCCTCTGGACAACAGTTTTGGTAATCCCGCACCTCCTCCTAACTTCCAAACTACGAATTCTCTGCATTATATTCACACCACACATTGCCCTCAGACATGACATCTCCACTGCCTCCAGCCTTCTCCTCGCTGCAACATTCATCACCCACGCTTCACACCCATATAAGAGCGTTGGTAAAACTATACTCTCATACATTCCCCTCTTTGCCTCCAAGGACAAAGTTCTTTGTCTCCACAGACTCCTAAGTGCACCACTCACTCTTTTTCCCTCATCAATTCTATGATTCACCTCATCTTTCATAGACCCATCCGCTGACACGTCCACTCCCAAATATCTGAATACGTTCACCTCCTCCATACTCTCTCCCTCCAATCTGATATTCAATCTTTCATCAATATACCTAAATATCTGTTCTGAGTTTTTCAAGGATGTCCTTTCAGTGTTAGCACAAAGACCATCTTGATAATTCAAGAATTCCCTGAACAGCCACCAGATGGTTATTCTGGGAACTCAATTTTAACAGTTTGGTAAATTTACATAATTTATCTAAGCAATTTTAAAATTAATGGAAAGATATTTTCATATACTGGTCAAAAACAAAATGGCAGGTAAGAAAACCTAAAGTAACCCAACTCGGAGTGACAAAACCCTCGGGTAATTGCTGGGAATGGCAAAACCCTAAAGTAACTACTGGGAAAAACAAAACCCTAAAGTAACTATTGGGAATGACAAACATCTGAGGTAACGGTTAGTGATACCTAATAATGCAGAAATATCAAAAATACATTAGGATGTAAAATAACCAAAGGTCTATTCACACATTTTCCTTTTCACTTTAATTCATATACAGGGATACTTTAAGCCATCAAATATCTAGAATATACTTTCAAATCTGCATTGATAGCACTTCAAATGCTGTACGAAATTCATTTTACTTCAAACCTCTTGAATATATATTATTTTTAAAGGGGTGGACCGGTAAGCCAGTGGAAGGCCTCGGTCAGATGACCAAATCTCCAAAGGCGGGTTATCATCTGACTAAGACCCGCGTCAAGAAACACTTGTCCTGTTTCCTGACGAACCTTACCTAGCCTAATCTAAACCTCTTGAGTTATGTTGTCACCACTCATTAGGTACAATAATATGCTCTCATTTTTCGTGCATCTATGGAATTAGCTAGATTGTAGCCTAAATTCTTTTGAACATTATGCCTCAGTCAATAACAACATTTTCTGCCATATCTCTAACTTAAGATTTATTACCAATTCATTTGAACCTCTTCTCATTGCATAACAAGTTATTTGAAGTTTTGTCGCTCTTCCTATACTTGCACTACATAGTCTTAGATTAGCAGGTACTTCTTCCTAAAACAAGCATTTAGACATTTCGAAATAAATTTTCTCCCAAATCATCAACACAATCTTTCTCTCAGCCTTTTCTATATACATTTCTCATTAATACATATTCAATAGTTCATGCTTAATATTTTGATTACATTATTTATAAGCATATTTATTCTGGTAGAATCCATTTACTTCTTAATAGTTATTAAAAGTTTATTTAGCAATACCTATATACAAATAAGAGCAATGATGTTATAATATTTAGCAACAATTATTTACTTTATATGAAAAATGCACAATATTATTGCACATAATTTGCTGAATGTCTCACATGGCATTTTCTTCAGTATTTTTATAAATCATAATTTTGAGAGGAAAAGTTCATATTCTATAACCACTGCATGTCAGTTATGCTTACCAAATTTGCTCAATGTATAATATAAACACTATTAATTTTTTATATGTGAAACTTTCTCATGCACAAAGGGAATGCAAACATAGTCTACAAAGTAATTACAACTGTATTTACCTGAAGTAACAAAAATGTATCTAGGTAACAGCCATAAATGGATGGGAAAGGAAGAGAGGCCTCAATAGTGAGGAGGAAAAGAAAAAGGACAGACTGACACTGTCATTTGGAACAGTGAAGGGGGCAGAAGCATGACTCCTTGACAGTGCTCCTGCTCAGGACATCACTGTCATATTAAACTGTGTCCTTGAGCAAATAGCTGCTCCAAAATAACTTGCTATTCTTTTATTTACTTTAAGAATCATGTGGAGCATCTCCAGTATCTACAAAGAAAAAGGCTTTAACAATTTTTTTTACTACATTGGCCAACAGTCACCCAATGTAGGTTGACCTAAAAGAGAGGACACACATTCACAATCATTCACTCTGTAGCTGTCTTGCCAGAAGTGTACAGGTATTACAATTCAGATAACCCTCTGAACAGTAATATCCCACTCCTATGAACTGCAGGCACTGTACTTCCCACCTCAAGAATTGAAGCCAGGTAACCAGTTTCACAATTTTAACATGCTCACACCCCCAATACTATATCAAACTCTAAAAACCACTTATCTTCGCTCACTTCAAGCTAACGTGCTTAAACACACCTGGATGCTTAGGCCTCTACCACCTACAACTTCTCCCTCCCCCCCTTTTCCCTGACATTTCATAAGACAACCCCTATTCCTCCTCTCCTTAATTTATACACTCTTGATGCTATTCGTGCCATCCTTTCTATATTGCCAAACCACCTCAACAACCCCTTTGCCTTCTGAATTATATGTTTTGTAACCCCGCAGTTTTCTAATTACTATGCTCCTCTTTCTCTGCATATTCATGAACCAAATATTGCTCTCCAACATGATCTCTTCAGCTTCCTCATTGCAATGTTTCAAGACCGTGTCTCACACCCATACTAGTGCTGGTTCCACTATACTCTGGTATATTTCCCTTTTTGCCACCATAAAGCTTTTCTTACCACAGAAGCCTCAACAGACCAGCTACCTACTCCCCCCCCCCCCCAAATCACCTTTTCTGTGGTTCACGTCATCTTTCAATAAACCATTTTAACAGATATCCAGTACTTCAGTACCTAAACTTTTTGTAACTTATCAGGCTGCTCTTTTCTATGTTCACTTTTAGTTGACTTCTTTTGAACACCCACTTAAATACCACTAACCTTTGTAACTTTTCTTAAGAATCTCCCAAAAAAGAACTGTCAATGAGAGAGAGTAACTGATGATTCCCACTGTATTAAAATTATTTTTCAATTTCAAACCTTTCCCCAACACTAGTATACACTTTTTTTTTAATAACCCCATCTATCAATATAATGAACCACCATAAAGCCATTACACACAACTAAGGCCTACTTCCTGAAAATAGTGCCCTTCTTTCCTACACACCTTAAAATTTAAAATTACTTGCAAATCTGACCTCCACTCACCCAGGTACATAGAATGTATCAGTGGCCAACAGAAGAGGAATGATGCATCGCTATTACAAAGTATTATCTGAAGTGGTCATGTTAATCAGCCAGATGTAAAACTCCACACAAGCAACTATGTAGATTATGCATGTTGTTTTTTGCATGGTTAAAATTATAATGGGTATCAACTACCAAAATATGCAAGTTTGTCCCATTTAAATTTTGACTCTAATCTTATTAACACTACCTGGCCTGAGACAAGATATATGCAAGACACTCAACACTGATCCAGTTTCAACTTTATCTTTCACACTATCAACACAGGAGCATTGCACAATGCCAAAGTCCTAGGCACAATTTATTTCTTCAGATCACACAGAAGGGTTCTGCATGTCAATTATCACAAGAAAGAAGCAATGCCTTTATATGGAATTCAGCATATGCTTCTTCAACATTTATAAATTAAGCAATAGCTTTTATGATCATACAAAAAAGAAACAATAATAAAATCAAATCTACTTTTTAAAAAGGTGAATGCTACTTCATTTCAAACCTATGATTGAACAAATTTACCAAGCTCTTACAGGTCCAGTATGTAAATTTCCAAAAAGCAAAATTTTCAAGTACCACATTTCTAACTTAATCCTAAAATTAATAAATTTTGACCATAAATACCCAGTGTAATAGTCACAAAATAACAATTTAATTCATCTAGTAATTATAGAAAGCTTTATAAGTTTAATATTGATACAATTTTGTAGTCAACCTGAAAGCATTCATTATATATATTCTTAAGTTATCTTCATCACACCGGATGACCGAGCATTTCTTCAAGGTCATTATAATAGTGTGTCACGGTTATTAAACTCAATATATTCACTCTCCGGAAACATGGCAGAAAGAAAAATTTGAAGACTGTCACAAAGCCAATGTAATTTTTCAGATTTAGATAATTAAAAACTCAAATTGGAATACATATCTCAATCACTGCAGCACTCAGAGTATTAGGTCATATTTAGCAGCCTGTCAATTATAGTACAGTACCTTGGAAAATGCCTTTCAATGCACTTGCTGTCCATTGCATTAGTCTCAAGACAAGTGTCAAGTCAGTCATGTCAGCCATCTCACTGGCTTTCATCTATGCTGTCCATCATGTCAGCTGAAGAATCTGGAAAAGTCTACCAGCGCTCTGGTAATTTCCTTAGTGCGCTCTGCCTGTGTGACAGCCTTGTGGAACTCTACCAACTCAGTTTGAGTAATTGCCTCCACACCACCGGAATTCTTTGTTGGTAACACTTTCAACTTGGCCTCTAACCACAGACAAAATTTTGGACGGTCAAATTGCATAATCTGTAAAAATAACATTTGGGAAAATAGAGAAAACTAATACTTATATCACCAAACATTTCACACAAATATACATACAAGATAAAATGTTATACAAAATATTTATATCATTAAACATTTCACACAAAAATATGTACAAGATATAATGTTAAGGGAAAGGAGTAATAAAACAATAAAAAACTGACCTGGAAGAAAGTTTCAGCAACATCATGATGCATATATTGAGGGAGAATGAAGATGGCTGCATTAATGAGGTTGCTCACTAGACTCTCACCATGAGTATTAAAAATATTTACGACCAGCGTGTGTCGAGTTTCGAAATTCGGTCGGTCTTCGTGTTTACGTCCTGCCTCCAATAGATCTTGAAAGAACTTCAATACAGCTGCATTTGCTTCCTAAAAAAAAAAAAATTACACGGGAAAGGGTAAGAGGCATTAGTTTACAGTGTGAAGGTAGCTGAATACAATAAAAAGATTTATATACATTTTTTCCTTTATTTAACTTTGGTACACTCAACATAGAGAGGGGCATGTGAAGACAGATCAAAGGAAGAGAAAGTGAAGGATCTAAACTAACATTGGCTCAGCAGCTAAGATGAAGGAAGGGAAAGCTGAATGACTACAAGAAGTCATGAAGGAGCTCTTTAAGACAACTCTTCAAAGTACGTACTTGAAAACAAGCAGAACAAAGCAGTAAAAATTGCAAATACAAGAACTTTAAAACAATGACAGAAAACTGTTGCTCTTTAAGGGTAATTTTCCTGTCAATTTTCTTCCCAAGGTTAGAAGAGAAAACCCAGTAAACAACAACAGTTCTATCAGAAAGGAGTCTTAAGAAAGATTATAAAACTGACAAAGTGATAAGAGAAAGACCATGGCAGAAAGGAAACCTTTAATGAGAGAAAGTTTCAACTGTAGAGCAAGCTTTTCTAAGTTTTTAGGCTCTCAGAATCTACAGTCCAGATTTCCAGGAAGAGTCCCTCAAAAATCACCACTTTCATATCAAATTATAGAAGGAAAGCACAGAAAATAACCATGCCTCCCACCCAACTTTTTTTTAATCTTCCCTACTTCCACTGTACATACCTGAGAATACCTTTAAGTTACAACCCTTAAACTGTGTAAGACTTACTGGTGTGCAGGGAACCAATCTGTGTATGACTTACATGCCAAATTTCTGCAGCTTCAAATATGCCACCTGTAACCACTTTAGGCTTCAGCCCAACTGTCTGGGTCACCTATCACCATACACCTGGCAAAAACATCTAGGACCAGGCAGGTCCATACAGCACTTCATGGAAAACACAAGTAAACAATGCACCATCACCCCTTTAGCCACAATCAAGACACTTTATATATTCAAAACTTATTTCCTAAAACAAATGATAGAGATAATAGGTAGCACTAATAAAGGGACTCAATAAAACCAGTTAGCCAGACTTGAATCCATAAGGTGGAATGTGCAGTGTATACACTGAAGGATGTTACAGTTTGGAGGGGTCATCTGAACTGTGAAGTCAGTACCCTTTTGACAAAACAGTGATTGAATGAGTAGCAGTGGAAATGTTTTTTTCATTGGGTCACCCTACCTTGGTGGGAGATTACCAGTGTTAAACAAAACATTTTTTTTTAACACGGCAGTTTCCCACTGAGGCAGGGTGAAGTAAAAATGTGCGTCAATTTACAGTGAATAGTGCAGCTGGGATTAAGGATCAATGTGTTTCTTACATTTTAAGTACTAAAACACCTTGAAACACAGCAGGGAGTGAATCTGACAAGCAGCAGATTGAGAGGCAGGATTAGGAACCAAAACTAGACTCCTGAAACCACATATGAAGGGCATAAACAGGCAAGTACACCTATTATATCACAGTACTGTACATAGTGCTACACACTGAAAATAAAAAGGCTTAATTTGGTGTAAATCAACAGGAAAACTTAAATACTGCTATGTACATTCATGATGAAGATTGAGACACTTATGCAGCATATGGAAATCTTTATTCAGGAAACGTTTCGGCACACAGTGGCTTCATCAGTCCAATCAGTCGGTTTTTCAAACAATTCATCACATATGTACATTCATGTTGATGAGTTATCATATACTGCCAACTACAACCCTCCATAAAATGGTAAGTTATCGTCTGACGTCTCAACATTAAAATCTAAATTTTATTACAATTGTATTCATTTATTAATCTCATACTGTGAAATGCTAAATTAAGAATAGAAATAATGAAGCATACCTTGTGGTCCAGCATGCATGCTTGAAGTCCACACTCCAAAATTGTATTTAAGGCTGAACACTGAAGGAAGGCTACTGGTGCTCGCTGAAGGAATCTGAAAGATAATATGTATTCATAGTGTGTTGTTGTACAAAAAAGTTAGATATTAATCACCACCCAGCTTGCTACATATCATAGGAATCTGTACACAAATAAAACACACTTTTTTTTTAACACGCTACCCGTTTCCCACTGAGGCAGGGCGATCCAAAGAAGAAACACACTTCATCATTCACACTAACTCTCTCTAGCCAGAGGCATGCAGGTATGACAGTTTAGATGGCACTCTAAACAGCAAATATCCCAAACTCCTTTAGAGTACAGGCACTGTACTTCCCACTTACAGGACTCAAGTCCCACTAACTGGTTTCCCTGAAACCCTTCACAAAATATTACCTTGCTCACACTCCAACAGCTCGTCAAGTCCCAAAAACCATTCGTCTCCACTCACTCCTATCTAAGCACATATAAATTTGATAAAAGTTAATGCAAAAGCATTAACCTCTCTATTTCTTGGACTAACTGAGGGGAAAGAGTAGCCAGTAATGACAATTATGGTGGACAGAGAAAAGATTATCTTACCATGGTTGTTACAAAACAATAATAAACAATTCTGCAACCAAAAGACTTTGTCCAGTTCCTCAATCTACTAATCCACCAGATATTGTTCTGTATTTCCAAAGTCTGTTCAATGGAGGGTTTACTGCATATTAAAAACTGAGCCAATTTATCTACAGGGGTAACTAGTTTAAAAAGAGAGCAAGGTTTTCCACTGTCTTAAGAGGTCAAACTATCCACTGGGTCAACAGGTCCAAAAAACAGTAAACCTTTTCTTTCCTTACACTGTTAAATTTCCAGGCTGACATATATTATCCCATCTCATTTTATTTCCAAGCATAGCCCTATAACTAAATTCACCTAATTAGCTAATTTACAGAAAAATGTCTTATAATGGATAAAAAAAAAAACACTAAATTCTGAAACTTGTGTATCAATACCTGACCTGATCCAGTCTCAGTTTATCTGTCACACTATCAACACATGAGCACTGTCTGACCACTGAATAGTGAAAAAAATAGAGCATGAATATACAGTGGTCTTTTTATAAATCAATTTAAAATCTAGTATCTTTTGTCTACAATTTGACTTACGAGAAAAGTAAGAACACTTGCATGTATTTCTTTTATTATTTTGCTTCCATTATGAACAATTTCATGATATATGATACATATTTTAACAAACCCCTCCTTAATTATATTTAGGGGAAAGCACTAAACCTGTAGGGTAGGAAACTGGATTTCATTCAAGGAGAAAACAGGTTAAATTCCTTGGAACAAGAGCCACTCACCATGATCATGGCACCTCCTATGAGGTGTTCCCCTTTCTCCTTAAACAATACTATACACAATAAAAGTTTATAAAGAAAAAGTGGAAAAGCCTACCTGGCACACAATCTAAACCAATCATCAACAGTATCAGGATGATCTCTGAATCCATTAGGCTGTGTGAGAAGGATGAAGGTTGGCTGTGTAAAAGCTTCCAGCATGGCCAAGAGGCCTGTTACACAACCAGGCTCACTTGCGTATTCATCCACCAGAATGCTACCCAGGTACAGGAAACAACTGTGCCCATGTGCAGCATACAATCCAACAATCTGTCAAAATGGAAGTTAATAAATCAAGTACAAAGTATGTTAAGTAAAAAGGACACAAATGCAACTAATGTGACATTTTATTGTGGCAACATTTCGCTCTCCGAGAGCTCTGTCAAGCCGTAATGGTCTTGACAGCTCCTGGAAAGCGCAACGTTGCCACAATACAATGTAACATTAGTTGCATTTGTGTCATTTTACTTAACATATTGTCGGTAATTCTACCAATATTAATACAAGTACAAAGTAATTATAAGGTAACGTACAATGCTAGGATGTTTGAGACTAATTTATGAATAAAGCATCCTTCATTGAGGACAATAGAAGCATTATTACATTTAAGAGGACACATTAAATCCACCGAGATTATATAGCACCTGTGGGAATGGGAGGCAACTGGGTTTGATCCAAGGAAGTTTAGAAAAGGTTCAATTCTTTGAATCAAGAGCCCTTCACCAGTCGCTCCTTGCAGGGCAAGGATAGTGCAATAACAATGAGCGACTAATAATTCCCTTGATTTTCCCGATAAATTTTTTTGAAGAATGACAATAAAACTAAGTTCTCAATTTATCATCACACACTGGCCAACTCCCACAAAGGTAGGATAAAAAAAAAAAAATCACCACCATTGAATCAATAAGTATCTTGCCTGAAGTGGGCAGACATTACAATTCAACTGATCCTCTGAAGTGCAACAACCACACCACCATCTAAGTGGAGGCACTGTACTTCCCAACTCCAGAACTCAAAAGTCTCCCAATCCTTTTATAAATGTTACCCTGCTCACACTCCAACGGAGCAACAAGCCATTAGAATGGTGTCCACCGGTTAATCTCAATGGAATCTGGAGTCAACATCACATTAAATAACAGGAAAATATAGCTCATGCAATCAGCTGGACATTTATACTTGCTGGTGGAGACAATCTTACTAGTCCTACCAGATGAAAAGGTTTAAGTGAAAAAGTGAAATATTTTCCACTTGCTTAGTTGTTCAATACCTGTTCAACAAGGGGTGAGAGAAGTGGTGCCGAGTGCTGATGCACACAGCGTACTGCAAACCGCAAGCAGCGGCAGCAATGCTCCATTACCCGTAAATCAGAACTGTATCTCTGGAACGCCAGTGAGAGTGTTGGCCAAACCTGCGGATAATATCATGATCACAAATCTGGGCATAAATTAAAATAAAAAAAGTCACAATATTCTAATATTTGTAGAAATTTTAATTTTGGTATGATTCACTAATTTTTATTTATATATACACTGCTATCTCTTAATAACCCACCTCCATAACCACTTCCTGACATGGATGTTGCTCTCCATTTTGGACAATTGGATTAACATTTCTAAATATCGCAGCCAACCGATCCAACCACACCACAGGATCTGATTTTGTGTTCTTTTCTATTGGTATGTTTTCCTGTAAGAGAAAATCAGAAATAATGAACAGAAGTTTAAACAGAAACCAGCTCTAAAAAAACAAACAAGAGTAATTACTGCACTCAAGCAGATGTGCAATAAAATCCTAAATTTAGTGAGGAACAGTTGAGAGATGTATAGCAATCTTAGTGAAGAGTAAAACTTGTAAAGTGGAGCCTGCCTGTAATAAATGGACTGCTTATTCCCAGACTAGGAAACCTTTAGATATGTGACATACAGAAGACTTTTGTAAACTGGAAATGCAAGCTAGGTTAATGAGTGAAATATTAGGTTAAATGCAACTAATAATTCCAGGAATAAACAAGAATAAAGTTCATGTCCATTTTGCCAAAAATAAGAAATGATTTTGGAGATCATTGAGCTGAGAAGGCCTAGGGGACAAGTTTAATTTAACATTTCAGAACAAACGAGGGGTTATTAGATGGGAAGGTGGAGATGTCAACACAAACATTTACCTCAATTAGTTTCTGAATATGAGACACTTGAACCAAACAGAGCTTTTTCATATCTTCTTTAATTCTTTCTTTAGGAAATCTTCCAAGAATTGATGCTACTCCCTTCAGAAGCCCAACCACCGCCTCATTACTGATGCTGAACGAGTCAAGAGAGGCTATTATGTGCATTAGTCCATCAAAATGCTGCTCAATGTGGTCCCGGCAACTTTGACACACTGCATCCAAAGCCTGAAAATACACACACAAGCATTATAAACAACTGGGTTTACACAATACAGCCAATAACTGTTAAAAATAATTCCAAGAACTCAAAATAACCCAAGTAGCTATTTTTTATACAAAACCTTTACAAATTTCTTTTATAAAAATCCCAAATGACAAAACATAAGCTCAATAAACAAGTGAATAACATTTGCTCAACAATACAATCACAATTCTATCTCAAGCATTCAATACATAAAACTTATTCTAGAAAAAAAGTTGAACTAATATATACATATATGGTTAGGTATGATGGTAGGATTGCTGATGTCTTTTGTCTGTCTCATAAATATGCAAGATTACAGGCATGTCTTGCTACTTCTACTTACACTTAAGTCACACTACACATACATGTACACATTTATTTATACACACTCATCTGAGTTTTCTTTGATTTTATCTTAATAGTTCTTGGTCTTATTAATTTTCCTTTTATATCCATGGGGAAGTGGAATAAGAATCTTTCCTCCGTAAGCCATGCGTGTTGTAAAAGTCAACTAAAATGCCGGGAACAATGGGCTAGTAACCCCTTTTCCTGTAAAGATTACTAAAAAGAATAAGAAGAAAATTGTCAAAGTGGGAAGTCTGAATGTGCGTGGATGTTGTGCAGATGATAAGAAAGAGATGATTGTGGATGTTATGAATGAGAAGAAGCTGGATGTCCTGGCTTTAAGTGAAACAAAGCTGAAGGGGGTGGGAGAGTTTCAGTGGAGAGGAATAAATGGGATTAGGTCAGGGGTTTCAAATAGAGTTAGAGCTAAAGAAGGAGTAGCAATAATGTTGAAGGATAAGCTATGGCAGGAAAAGAGGGACTATAAATGTATTAATTCAAGGATTATGTGGAGTAAAATAAAGATTGGATGTGAAAAGTGGGTTATAATAAGCGTGTATGCACCTGGAGAAGAGAGAAGTGTAGAGGAGAGAGAGAGATTTTGGGAAATGTTGAGTGAATGCGTGGGGAGTTTTGAATCAAGTGTGAGAGTAATGGTGGTTGGGGATTTTAATGCTAAAGTGGGTAAAAATGTTATGGAGGGAGTAGTAGGTAAATTTGGGGTGCCAGGGGTAAATGTAAATGGGGAGCCTTTAATTGAGCTATGTGTAGAAAGAAATTTGGTAATAAGTAATACATATTTTATGAAAAAGAGGATAAATAAATATACAAGGTATGATGTAGCACGTAATGAAAGTAGTTTATTAGATTATGTATTGGTGGATAAAAGGTTGATGGGTAGGCTCCAGGATGTACATGTTTATAGAGGGGCAACTGATATATCGGATCATTATTTAGTTGTAGCTACAGTTAGAGTAAGAGGTAGATGGGAAAAGAGGAAGGTGGCAACAACAAGTAAGAGGGAAGTGAAAGTGTATAAACTAAGGGAGGAGGAAGTTCGGGTGAGATATAAGCGACTATTGGCAGAAAGGTGGGCTAGTGCAAAGATGAGTAGTGGGGGGGTTGAAGAGGGTTGGAATAGTTTTAAAAATGCAGTATTAGAATGTGGGGCAGAAGTTTGTGGTTATAGGAGGGTGGGGGCAGGAGGAAAGAGGAGTGATTGGTGGAATGATGAAGTAAAGGGTGTGATAAAAGAGAAAAAGGTAGCTTATGAGAGGTTTTTTACAAAGCAGAAGTGTTATAAGAAGAGCAGAGTATATGGAGAGTAAAAGAAAGGTAAAGAGAGTGGTGAGAGAGTGCAAAAGGAGAGCAGATGATAGAGTGGGAGAGGCACTGTCAAGAAATTTTAATGAAAATAAGAAAAAATTTTGGAGTGAGTTAAACAAGTTAAGAAAGCCTAGGGAAAATATGGATTTGTCAGTTAAAAACAGAGTAGGGGAGTTAGTAGATGGGGAGATGGAGGTATTGGGTAGATGGCGAGAATATTTTGAGGAACTTTTAAATGTTAAGGAAGAAACAGAGGCAGTAATTTCATGCACTGGTCAGGGAGGTATACCATCTTTTAGGAGTGAAGAAGAGCAGAATGTAAGTGTGGGGGAGGTACGTGAGGCATTACGTAAAATGAAAGGGGGTAAAGCAGCTGGAACTGATGGGATCATGACAGAAATGTTAAAAGCAGGGGGGGATATAGTGTTGGAGTGGTTGGTACTTTTGTTTAATAAATGTATGAAAGAGGGGAAGGTACCTAGGGATTGGCAGAGAGCATGTATAGTCCCTTTATATAAAGGGAAAGGGGACAAAAGAGACTGTAAAAATTATAGAGGAATAAGCTTACTGAGTATACCAGGAAAAGTGTACGGTAGGGTTATAATTGAAAGAATTAGAGGTAAGACAGAATGTAGGATTGCGGATGAGCAAGGAGGTTTTAGAGTGGGTAGGGGATGTGTAGATCAGGTGTTTACATTGAAGCATATATGTGAACAGTATTTAGATAAAGATAGGGAAGTTTTTATTGCATTTATGGATTTAGAAAAGGTATATGATAGAGTGGATAGAGGAGCAATGTGGCAGATGTTGCAAGTATATGGAATAGGTGGTAAGTTATTAAATGCTGTAAAGAGTTTTTATGAGGATAGTGAGGCTCAGGTTAGGGTGTGTAGAAGAGAGGGAGACTACTTCCCGGTAAAAGTAGGTCTTAGACAGGGATGTGTAATGTCACCATGGTTGTTTAATATATTTATAGATGGGGTTGTAAAGGAAGTAAATGCTAGGGTGTTTGGGAGAGGGGTGGGATTAAATTATGGGGAATCAAATTCAAAATGGGAATTGACACAGTTACTTTTTGCTGATGATACTGTGCTTATGGGAGATTCTAAAGAAAAATTGCAAAGGTTAGGGGATGAGTTTGGGAATGTGTGTAAAGGTAGAAAGTTGAAAGTGAACATAGAAAAGAGTAAGGTGATGAGGGTGTCAAATGATTTAGATAAAGAAAAATTGGATATCAAATTGGGGAGGAGGAGTATGGAAGAAGTGAATGTTTTCAGATACTTGGGAGTTGACGTGTCGGCGGATGGATTTATGAAGGATGAGGTTAATCATAGAATTGATGAGGGAAAAAAGGTGAGTGGTGCGTTGAGGTATATGTGGAGTCAAAAAACGTTATCTATGGAGGCAAAGAAGGGAATGTATGAAAGTATAGTAGTACCAACACTCTTATATGGGTGTGAAGCTTGGGTGGTAAATGCAGCAGCGAGGAGACGGTTGGAGGCAGCGGAGATGTCCTGTTTAAGGGCAATGTGTGGTGTAAATATTATGCAGAAAATTCGGAGTGTGGAAATTAGGAGAAGGTGTGGAGTTAATAAAAGTATTAGTCAGAGGGCAGAAGAGGGGTTGTTGAGGTGGTTTGGTCATTTAGAGAGAATGGATCACAGTAGAATGACATGGAAAGCATATAAATCTATAGGGGAAGGAAGGCGGGGTAGGGGTCGTCCTCGAAAGGGTTGGAGAGAGGGGGTAAAGGGGGTTTTGTGGGTAAGGGGCTTGGACTTCCAGCAAGCGTGCGTGAGCGTGTTAGATAGGAGTGAATGGAGACGAATGGTACTTGGGACCTGACGATCTGTTGGAGTGTGAGCAGGGTAATATTTAGTGAAGGGATTCAGGGAAACCGGTTATTTTCATATAGTCGACTTGAGTCCTGGAAATGGGAAGTACAATGTCTGCACTTTAAAGGAGGGGTTTGGGATATTGGCAGTTTGGAGGGATATGTTGTGTATCTTTATATGTTTATGCTTCTAGACTGTTGTATTCTGAGCACCTCTGCAAAAACAGTGATAATGTGCGAGTGTGGTGAAAGTGTTGAATGATGATGAAAGTATTTTCTTTTTGGGGATTTTCTTTCTTTTTTGGGTCACCCTGCCTCGGTGGGAGACGGCCGACTTGTTGAAAAAAAAAAAAAAAAAAAATGGTTAGGTGAAAGGACAGAAAAGCAACTAGTTATTGTGTTTACATTTTGTTTCCCAGAAGCTGTCAAACCAATATGAATTATTTTTATATGAAAAAAAAAAAAAAAACACCAAACTCACTTAGCAATGAATGATACTTATCATCCCATTAATTAATGAATCTCTCCCCCCCCCCCTTTAAAAAAAAAGTCACATTTCATCTGTTTATATCATTTGTTTCCTTAAACTAAACTTGTATAAAAAAATTATTTCCCCAATGTACCACCACCAAATTTAACTTTCTAATGTAATGACCCAATATTGTAAACAAGTAATGAATTACATTTACCAGTGAACTTCAGCAGAAAGCTACACAGTCATATGAATGCAACAAGCAATATCAAGGCTCCCAAACACCAATTTTACTCCGTTAGCCCAGGAAAGTTAATATTTTTGCCTTAACCCATCTTCTAAACTTCACTGAGAAAAGATTTATTTACTACCATGACACTGCTACTTTAGAACCAATCTCCGAGTCAAATTTTGTTACTGAAACTTTTTAAATAACTCTCTCAATTTTCATGTTTCAATTTTCAAACACATTTTCAAGATAAGATTTCTTGAACCTGCACCTAAGTCTGCTGAAACCAAATTCCAAAACTACATTTTCAACAAATAAAACTGTTTGCCTAATTCCTAACGGCATGGCGAAAAGAAAACTAATGTCTATAGTTACAGCACAGAGGAAGACAAACATTTTAATACATAATGAGCATTTGTATGCGGAGTATAGATTTTTCTTTTCCCAAAACATTGGCAGTCTTCCACCGAGGCAGGGTGACCAAAAAAAACACTTTCCCCATCATTCACACATAATCACTGTCTTTGCAGAGGTACTCAAATACAACAGTTTAGACATCACTCCAAACAGCCATTATCCCAAATCCCTCCTTAAAAATGCAGGCTCAAGGGCTCAAGTCCAGTTAACCAGTTTCCCTGAATCCTTTCAAAAAATATTACTCTGCTCACACTCCAACAGCTTGTCAAGTCCCAAAAACCATCCATCTCCATTCACTATCTATCATGCCCACACATGCCTGCTGTATGTCTAAGCACCTTGCACACAAAATCTCTTA